GTCGTAGGGGGCTACGGAGTTTGCGTGACCGGCGGGCGTGTTGGGCTCGTCAAGGATGTAGTGGTACAGGGAGCCGTCGTGGCCGCCTGTGCTGAGGAGGTTGGAGTGGACTGGGTGCCAGGCGATGGTCGAAATGTCCTTTTCGTGGCCCTTGAGCAGGCAGATGTCGCGCATCATTCGGAGGTCGAAGACGCGGGCCGTCTGGTCTCGTGCTGACGTTGCCAGGCAGTCGCCCTGGACCTTTTCGAACAGCGTCTTTGTGATTGTGTTTTTGTGGCCGTGGAGGGTGGTCAGGCACCGGCCTGTCCTGGGATCCCACAGCTTGACCAGATGGTCTTTTGAGCCTGATACTAACAAGCCCTTTGTCGGATGCCAGTCGCAGCTCTTGGCGTCCCAGCCGTGGCCCTTGAGGGTCGACTCCTCCACTCCTCCAGCAAAATCAAAAATTTTGAGCGTCGAGTCGTCGCATGCAGTGACGAATTTGGAGTCGTTGGGGCTGAATGCGAGGTCTCTGACCGGATCGTTATGTGCGGCGATGCTCTGAAGGTTGTTGAAATTGGGCTGCCAGTACTTGACGCTTCCGTCGTGGTCGGCAGAGATGAGCCAGTCGTCGTTGTGAGAATAGGCGAGAGCTCTGATGGCGGAATCGTGGGCCTGCATAATGGTCTCGAAGTTGAATCCGGTACCGTTCCATAATGTGAACTCTCCGCTGCTCGACGCGGTCAACAGGCGGCGTCCTTCTGGCGTCCACCTGACGACGTTGACCGGGTGCTTGATCTTGTTCAGTGATGAGTGTAGGTGCTTCACTGGGATTGTGTCACCGGGATCTGTCCTCCTCGCGGCGGGTGGTATGAACTGTGAGCATGTTAGTGTCAGGGATGCAGATGAGGAGAAGGCGACCTTGTAGAGGACTCACATCAACGATGAAGCTGGCACTTGGCCTCTCGACTTCTCCGGTGTATGCATCGCCGTCAAGTGGCGAGCGATGGCGCATCCAGTTGGCGACGGTTGAGCCATAATCAGTAACAGGACCTGGGGACGTCAGTTATATGCTCGTGGAAGCTAGTCTTTGTCTCAAGCGCGCAGGAGTTTGAGATGAGAAGTCCAGATGGTGTTCGCCCCTGTCTCTCATCATGTAGGCTGAGGGCTTCCGCTCTGGGTATTCTACGCATGAGCTCGTGCTAGAGAATCTAGGTAAAAACTCACGTCGACCCCTGGCTCTCACGAAACCGCCATCTTGACCATCTCCATCACCGCCTGGGCCTCCTCCTCCTCCTCCTCTCCTGCCATGGTGATCCCCTCGAGGATCATACGCCATCTTTAAACTCTCATGAGGGTTTCGCAATCTCTCTTTGTTGATATTGAGCTCATATGTAGTTTATGGCTGATGAAATAAACCCCGAAATTGCAGTGAAATGTGAAATGGCGTTTGTTGGTGAGGGAGCTTCAGCATTGTTCGGTTCCACGAGGTTGGTACGTCGCCAATGACAGTGAAAACGACCGCGACGCGTGCACAGGCCAGCTACTTTTCTCGCAGTCACATGACCCAGGGAGCTGAGAGCTGGGAGCTGGGAGCTCTGCTGTGGACTGAAGGAAGGATGCACAGAGGCACGTCCCTTCCAACGTCGTCAATTTCGGTCGATGAGCTAATGCAGCCTGGGTACGTACCCGTTCACTTCCCGGGAAGGTCGACGGCCCACGGTTTTTATCGGTTTTCTTATCCGGGCCAATATCGGGGCGCCCATGTCCCAAATTTCCATTCCCATGCCACGAATGCCCAAAAATATCCCGCGATTCTTCGTGAGGTGATAATTTATGGCAAGGTGCGATTTCTTCTGGCCCCTCTCCCCACTGCTCAGTCAGTCAGGCACTTTCACATGTGATTTTTCAGTTGCAAAGCCACGGCTCCCTCCTCGTTTTTCTCTAGACTCTGACTCCCAAGTTCCCTGGACCCACGAGGTGAACCCCATGTTGGACCACTCAGAGCTGCCACCGGGGATCGCCGTCACTATCCGTGGAGCCGTAGAGACCCTTGGCGTGCATTGGATGCATGCGACTTTTCTCTCTCTCAAGGCCTCAACTTGCCTAGGCTGGCGGCGTCAGGATGCAGGATGTGTTGGGTGATTTTAAACACAACGGGCTTTTTGCTCTCTGTCTCTCTGGGCTGTCTCCTTCTCTGCGGTCATGCATTAGCGCTGGCTTTGAGGCGCTCTCCGTTGATCCAGCCAGGTTCCGGGTCAGACAGCTCAACGACCCTGACATTCTCAAGGTCCCCCCTTCCAATCCCGCCCCAATGGGCCGTGCCATCGTATCTACCTTACCTTACCTTAGTACCTTGGCCCGTCGTCACTCGTCTCTCTCTTTTTCGTAAATTCTGTTTTGTTTACTTCATCTCTCCTGCATTTCCATGTCTCTGATCAGTTCTCTGCATCGCATCTCTTCAACTGGCCCGTCCTGCACGCCGTCTGCATTCTTGTCGTCAGCGCGCCTCCTCTTCCATCATTCCTCCACGTTGATGAACGAATCCCCACGCTACAAGGCCTAATGGCGTCGGCCTAGCTTCCTCCACCTGGTTTTCCCTCCGACTACATACCTCACTTACCTTTCCCCCCCCCTGTGCCTTGACGTACCCCCTTCTTTAAAGCTACCTCACCACTCAATCATTTTCCTGCACCTCAGCCATTGCCCCTCACCAGGCACAGCCAAAAGGCCAATGCGCCCTACCTGGTCCATCCAATCCAGATAAAATAGCTTCTCCTCAGTTCTGAAAGGAGCTCAAATCGATTCGCGGGCGCCGTCCGTTTTCCCTTTGGAAACGCCGGCTACAAAGTCAATCCGTACTCTTCATCTTGCCTGACCCGGCCGCGCGCGGTGTCTTGCATTAGAGATCTATACTAACGAGTCCGATATCTTATCGCGCTTGCCACCACTTCACTCCCTGCATTGCATATACATAGCTCTTCCCTGACAGCCTACCTACACGTCTCCTCACTTTATACTTTCACCCATCTTTCCCCCTCGTCATCCACTACGGCCGCTTTTCCTTTTTCCCTCCTCCTCTCTCTTACATTCTTGTTGAGGACCCAATAGCTCCAGGGACGTCTTGCCCGTCATGAACACGGCCACGGTGACGAGCCTTGAGAGCTCAAGCACCACCACTACCTCCTCCTCTCTGCGGAACAAGCACAATGGCACCTCCAATGGCACTTCCAACCCCAAGGCCGCCGTCAAGCCGACTACACCCGACACCAACCGCACGACCGACGAGCTGAGGAGGGCTATTCAAAAGAAATACAGACACGTCGCTGCCGTCCACTCCAAATCGCGCCCATCAACCCTGAGCCATGACTCTAACACGGCCCCGAGCTTCATTGGCTTCAGGAACTTAATGATTATTGTATTAAGTACGTCGAGCCGATGCCGGAGCTGCTTCAATGGCATTGGCTAACCAAGCATAGTTGTCGGTAATCTTCGTCTGATGATGGAGAACATTCAAAAAGTAGGCTTCAACGAATTGTTCTTGATATGAAGACACACCTCACTAATCAGGCGCTTGTAGTACGGTGTCTTGATTTGTGTTCGCTGCCACGATTTCCGCCAGCAAGATCTCGCTCTCGGCTTGGGCTTATATCTTCTGATCCCTTGTCATCTTATCGCCGCGTACCTAATCGAACTGGCTGCCGCCCAGCAAGCAAGGGGCCTGCGGGCGAAATCGAAAGACGGAGCCGCCAGCCCAACAGAGGACCAGCGCGCGAGGTTTAACTCGACCTGGAAGGTTATCGCTTGGATCCACGCCGTTAACATCACTCTCGCTCTGACCGTTACATCCTACGTCGTGTACTTCCACATTCATCACCCCTTGATCGGCACCCTGACTGAGCTCCACGCCATCATCGTCTGGCTCAAGACAGCGTCGTACGCCTTTACGAACCGAGATCTGCGTCATGCCTACTTGCATCCTGTCAAGGGCGAACTTGCCGCCATGCCCGAAATTTACCAGCAGTGCCCGTATCCTCAGAACATTTCGATGCACAACCTGGCATACTTCTGGTGGGCACCGACATTGGTCTACCAGCCCGCGTATCCGAGGACGGACAAGATCAGATGGGTCTTTGTCGCGAAGCGCATGGCAGAAGTGTTTGGCCTGGGTGTCTTTATCTGGTTCGCTAGCGCCCAGTACGCCGCGCCTGTCCTCATCAACTCTCTTGATAAGATTGCCTCTCTGGACGTCCCCAAGATTCTCGAGCGGCTGATGAAACTCTCGACGATTTCTCTGGTCATCTGGCTCGCCGGCTTTTTTGCCCTCTTCCAATCGTTTCTCAACGCTCTCGCCGAAGTTACCCGGTTCGGTGACCGGTGTTTCTACGAGGACTGGTGGAACAGCGAGAGCTTGGGTGCATACTGGCGATTGTGGAACAAGCCCGTATACCAGTACTTCAAGCGTCATGTCTACTCACCCCTCATTGGCCGAGGATGGAGCCCAAGGGCCGCGCAACTGGCCGTCTTCTTCGCGTCTGCCGTCCTGCACGAGGTTCTTGTTGGTATCCCGACACATAACATTATTGGTAAGTCGTCCCGGGGGAAATACTCGTACAGTCAGTCGGCTAACAAAGAAAAACAGGTGTTGCTTTTGCGGGCATGTTCTTCCAACTTCCCCTTATTGCCCTCACCACCCCCCTGGAAAAGATGCAGTCTCCCACGGGTCGCATGCTCGGCAACTGCATTTTCTGGGTCTCGTTTACCATCCTCGGGCAGCCCTTTGCAGCTTTGATGTACTTTTACGCGTGGCAGGCCAAGTACGGCAGCGTCAGCAGGCAAATGGCCTGTAATTCGGTTGCAAGCTCGTAACTAGCGAAAACAATCGTCAAATGGGGCACGGCGTTGGCCTGGTAATCTTTCTATGTACACTATGATTTCTGGGTTTTAGACGAAACACAATAATTGGCAGTTGGCTCAACATGTCATTCTTCAATTTGCGTGCCATGACGTGCCCATACTAACTACCCGCAAAAGGGAATCATGGTCCCGACACGCTTGCGATAGTCCTCATAATCCTGTCCAAAGAACCTGACCAACAGCTCCTCCTCGTGTCGTATCCTCTTTGAAAAAAAGTACCACAACACGACGGCGTACGCCACCAGCGACACCACGTTCCCCATGACGAGCTGCGTGCCGATAGCCCACCAGAAGAAGCCAAAGTACGAAGGGTGCCGAAAGTAGGCGTACACGCCGCCCGTGACGAGGGTATGGGACTCTGCGCGGTAGTGCTGGATGGTGTGGTTGAAGCTCTGGCCCGCCGTGACCATGGCCGCGGAGCGGACCGCCTGGCCCAGCCCGACCAGAAGCAGACCCGCAATCAGGAAGGAGGGTCGGAGGCCGAAGGGCGCCCAGGCGCTGTCGGGGAAGATGAGGTTCGTGAGGAGGCACTCTAGGAAGGCTGTTGCGTGGGCGATTGCGTAGGCGGGCCAGTTTGCTGTCAGGAGGTAGGCGTGGACTGTCGCTTGCGGGGTGTTGTAGGCTGCCGTTGTGTAGAATTCGAGAAAGTGGAAGAGGGAGAGGGCGGAGAGGAAGAAGGGGAGGCGCCAGAGCGGGGACGAGGTGGTCAGGAGGAGGAGGGACAGGGAGAGGAGGCCGAGGGTGAAGGTCGTGCCGAGGAGGAAGGCGCGGAGGGCGATGCCGGCGAGGGATTTTGGTTGGTTTGGGTAGTATTCTTTTCCTGGGATTGGGGGGTCCTGGGGGCGGGCGTCGCTGGGGGGGATGTTAGCTTGGGGGTCTTTGTGGCGGTTGTGGTTGCGGTTCGGGAGGTTTGATGGTTGGGAGTAGAGGGGGTTCGTGGGCGTGCGTGAAGACATGGCGATGGTGGGGGTCTTGGTGTTGAGGGGCAGAAGGAGGTTCGCAGAACTGGACGTCCTTTGGAGGTGTCCGAGGACGTCAAGGTCGCAGCCACATTTGCTCGCCTCACTTCACTTCCCACCAGGGATAGGACAGAACAGGACAGGACAGGACGGTACGGGACCGGACATGTGCGGAGAGGAAACGGGGTACGGGAGATCGGGGCGGTGTTCTTGTGATTGATGCCGGGACCGAGGGTGGTGTGGCTGAGTTTGCGGCTCTGGTTGAAGCAAGACGAGAAAGGGAAGGCACAGGAAAGGGAAGGTGACGGATAGCAAGGTAAGGTAGGGAAAGGTAGAGAGAGATAGGTACTAGGCAATGTAGATAGGTACTTACACCCGACGGAAAGTCGACATGGTTGTGGCTGGCTGACTTGTGTGAAAAGATGCGTTGATCCGATGTTTCTGTGAATCCAAGCAGGTCGGGTTAAGCCACTCGGGAGCCCACATGCAGAGTCGTGGTGGTGGCGGCCGCGGGATGCGGGATACGGCAAAGGGGCAGATGCGAGCGTGGCAGAGTTTACGTTGCGAGAAAAAACAGAGCCTCAACGAGCCGCGGAACGACGTTGAGACTGGAAGAGCGCTGTTTGTGGCGGGGCAAGTTGGCTCTAGCTTCTTTTGTGGCCGTCATTTACATGCGAGAAGAACCAATGCGAGCCCAAGTTTCCCGTTTTTTGCAACACTGACACAGACGTCTACGGATAGTTGCGACGAAAGGGAAAAGCGGGAAGAAGGGCAAAGAGGAAAACGAAAAACTTGGCAGTGCTGGTAACTCTGTTCGAGTTCAGAACATGGCGGTTCTGTGGCGGTGGGCTTGTGATGGGTTTGCGATGGAGTGAATTAGGTAGTAAAAGTAAAGTATGAAGTCGGCGTTCGTCAGCCAACATGCGTGGAAACGGAGTCTCTCGGATTCGTGAATTGCGAGACTCCGACGTCCAGTGTGGGTGATGGGGTGCGTTCTCCCGGTCGTTTGCTGCAATTCTCGGAGGTATTCGAGTATGTACTATACTAGCAAGAATCGTGGAGATGTGGACGTGAGACTGCACAGACGTTGGATCCTTCTTTCTGTACTGCGCAGACTGTGGAATCCAAGATGCGGAATCAGGTGTCGTCCCCCACCGTTTCTTTCCAGCGTTAGTCTCTCCACCTCAGCCCAGCTAGGGGATGCTGAGGTTATTCCCGTTGTGATGTCAGGTAAGGCTGTTCTACTCAATGGGTTCTTCAACAATTCCCTGCCCCAGGTATTCAACGAGGAAGAATACGAGGGAGGGACGGGAGAAACGGAATCTGGCAATTCAATGTTTTGCTGTGGCTGACAGATAGAGACAGACGGATAGAGATGACGACCTGGAGTGAGTGCGTCGTGTCTGTCTGGTGCACACACACAGAGTTGACGCGGGTAAGGCCAAGCGCGAGCGCGGGCCGAGTTAAGGGGGGCGGGTGACGCAAGTGCGTGGAGCCCCCGCGGCCATCGATGCGCTTTGAACACCTGCGGATACTTCGTACACTGACTGACTGCTCTTAGGTGTCGTGCAAAATACTGCTGTTGCTGGCAGCTGCTTCTTTTTCCCATTTTGGGAGGGGGGGGGGGGCACTGGGGAGGAGCAGCACCAGCAACCAACATGGTCCAGGTCTGGTCCCCTTCTTTCTTCGTCTCCCCCCCCCGTCCCCGTTTACACGTACCTTGCTTCGGGTTCACCGACCAGATCATCCACCTTTAGCTCTGCTGCGTAGCCTCTGGGCTCTCTTCCCTTTCCCTTCTCCTTCCTAGCTCCATTGCTTCAATTGGTCACTTGATCCTTTAATGCCTCTTTCTTCAGGGTTGCCAGCTCGTGAATTAAACTACCAGACTACTGCCATAGCTCGACAACGGCCGGCAATTGGCATCCGAGATCCAATACACACTACTTTACTCTCCGTACCTACACTACTGCATACTCCTCCATAGAGACCCTTTTCCTCTTCCTCCTCATCATACAAAAAGTCGTGGGGTGTGCTCTAGGTTTTCCCAAACGACCCCGTCTTCAATAGAAACACCTTGTTTTCGCTTCTTCCATCCATCAATTACATTCCTCCTCCTCATCCCCCCCTTGTCCATCTCTGTGGATATCCTTTTTCTTGTCAACTCACCGACAAGTCGGTTGTTTCCACCCCAGATTCCCCTGACCCCCATTCTGAACTTACCTCACCTCACCTCACCTCGCTTTACCTCGCCTTACACAAGCTTGGCAAACATAAACACACTTCAACTCATACCTACGTCCCCTACACATACATACCTTACGCGCGACCGCGCACAAAAGACACATCCCACATGCTCATCCTCCAAGACGTAGCCATGGACATCCGCACCATCGACAAGGAAGAAAACAGGAGGCGCATGAGAAACGGCGAGCTCTACTGGGCCTTTACCCCGGATCTCATCGCCGACAGGAAACGCTGCAAAGCCGCCTGCGACAAGCTAAACAACGCTGGCGATGTCAGCCGCCGTACCCTCGTTGGCATGTGGAAAGAGTGAGTCCCTTCTCTCTTTTCTCTATTTCTCTATTTCACTATCTCCACCCCCCGGTTCTATTTGCGCGTATCGCCATGTCCCCGCATCATTTGGGTATCGGCAACTTTCCAGACCTTTTGAGAGCTTCCCTTGTCCCCCGCAACTTTGCATTACCTCATGTATACTCCGTACCTAGCATAAGGAGTGAAAGGATCTGACTTGAGAACCCACCCAGCATCAACCGGGACACGATCCCTCTCCCTCCGCCACGTCTCCGCCATCATGAGGATGATGCCCTGCTTGAAGACTACCCGTGGATCGATACTCCGATAAAGATGGACTACGGCTACAATGTCAAGTATGTAACATCCACCCCCGGATCTCCACAGCCAAGTGAAGCGCGCCTCGTACTCACCGCCTATAGGCTCGGTGAGAATGTCTACGTCAACTCCAACAGCACATGGATAGACACCTGTCTCATAACCGTGGGCGACCGCACCCTCATCGGTCCAAACTGCTCGTGTAAGTCCCCTCCTCTCTCCTCCCTTCTACTATACCCCATCAGGCGCAACCCGCGACCCGCGAATTACCTAAGCTGACCTCTCAAAAAGTCTACAGCGGCACACATCCGCTGGAACCCCGTCTCCGCAACGGCACCCGCGGGCCAGAATCGGGTAAGCCAATCACCATCGGTGAGGACTGCTGGCTCGGCGGCAACGTCATCGTACTGCCCGGAATCACTATCGGCAAGGGCGTGACCGTCGGCGCCGGGAGCGTCGTGACCAAGGACGTGCCGGATTTCGTATGCGTGGCGGGTAACCCGGCGCGGGTAATCAAGACTGTCGAGCAGTCGCAGCCGACGACAACAAAGGCGTCGGACGAAGTGCCAAACAGGATCGTTCCTAGCTCTACTATGTAGTAATACAGTTTTCGCGTGCCTGGCTTTTCATCGTGCGTGTAGTATGTATAGGTGTTTATGTGTATTCATGTCGTATTCGTGTTCATAGACCACCTTGAATAGTGAAGGATGCGATAATGAGGACGAGGACGTTGACGACGCCCCATAGTAACGGGATCCAAGTTGACATGGAGAAGAAACCGGCACGGTAAACCGCAGCTAGGCTGTGACGCAGTATCCCATATTAGCCTCTCTCTTTATCTGTCTCTCTGTGTTTATCTTCTGCACTCCTATCTTTGATCCGAGTGCGAAATACGAGAAAGAGAACTCACATCAACCCAACAACACTACCCGCAACCAGCGCCTGCACGCCCGACACGATGAGGTACAGCAGCGGCACGGCCCAGATGTACGTCAGCGACCCGCGCTTGTTGGTGTGCATGGCGATGGTGATGGCCGCCGCGCCGAGGTGCACGACGCTGTAGATTATCGTCGTCCATAGCACGGTGAAGCGCCAGATGTCGTTGATGTAGAAGAGGCTCCAGCGGTGGTCGTCCGTCAGGTCGCGGAGCTGCCAGTTGATGCTAGGGAACGAGGGGGTCTTGTAGTTCGTCGGCGGGTAGTCGCGCGCCGTTTGCGACATTGTTCGGGGTGTCGGGTGTTCTTTTTCGGTTCCGGTTCGATTCGACGTTGGAAGAAGGAGAGGATGTAGGCGGCGAGAGTTGTAGGTAGTACGAGGTCGTTGGCCTTTTTGTTCGAGGTTTTCGGAGGTTGTTGGCGTACCTAGTATAGGTAGGTAGTTGCAGTTCCTGCGCGCGGTGACGATGTTGCTGGGGTTGAGTGGACGATCTTCGGGTGCCAATTGAGGTGGGCGGGAGGTGTTGCAGGGATGGCGCAGCTTAAGGTAAGCTCGAGGTGTGGCTTTAGGGGCGTGTCCCGTCGGTCTCTAGGTGCCTCGGCAAATGCGCCCGCCCGCCGAACGTCCTGCTATCGGCACCGGCTTCGATATCGCAATCCACCGGCAACATCACCAGCCGCACCTTCCTTCCACCACCGTCTCTTCCGTTGTGAAACTTCTTTTATTCCCCGTCTATGGTTAATTCCCTCCCAGCATAGCCGTCGAATGATCCACCAGTCTCGCGAAACGATACGACACGACCCGACCCGACACGATGCCGGCCGACAGACTCCTCAACACGGTTCTGCAGCTGTACCAAAACGTCCATGACGACCGTAAGACGGACCAGATCGTCGGCTCGACCGTGAACCTCCTCACCTCCCTCTCGAATCCGCTGAACCTCGGCGTCCTCACCTCCCAGCTCCTCATCGCCCCCGCCATCTGGCACCGCCGTGACGGCCTGCGCACGAGTCTGCGCATCATTTCAATCTACAACAGCGCCGCGATACGGGTGCGGCAGAACGAGCTCGACGACGCAAAGGCTTCCTCGGTCGCCAACAATGATTCCCGCACGATTCATACACCGACACCGACGAGGCAGGGTGGCGGTCTCAGCAGCGAGACGTGGGTGCGGGCCGTGGTCAAGGGCGCCGATGACCGCTCCAACAGGTGGCAGCATCTGCTGGTCCTGACGGGTATCCTGATGGGCATGGAGGGCAACGATAAGCGTTCGTTGTCGCGGGGTCTGCGCAATACCCTGGAAGAGGCCGTCGTCACGGCCGCGAACCTCGCGCTGGAGCGCCAGGACGGGTCCTTCGCCTCGGCGTCCATCGTACTGGCGCTCAACTACGTCTTTCCGTTCCTCTCCGAGTTTCACCAGTCCGCCATCAACTACAACGCACTGCTGCCCATCACCGTGCTAGCCATCACGGGAGAGGACGGGTTCCAGGACGGCGGGTTCTTGGAGGACGTTCGGAGGGACGTCAAGCAGAACGGTCCGTTCGTGGAGTGGTCTCCCGCGTCGCCGTCGTTCAGGCTGCAGCAGGCGTTGGAGGGCAAGCCGTTGA